GAAAATTGAGCCGTTAAGAGTAGTAGATGGAAAGCATAGACGGTTCTGTAAGAGTTATTTATCTCTTTGATATTCGATGTTGGAGGGAGATAGTAGTGACCATGTATAATTTTCAATATTACATCAACTGTGACTTGTAGTCTCGTACATGTTCACATCGTATCTAGAGATGCGGATCTGGGCATGTGCGAACATGCGTGGACAAATACAAACGTTTACAAATCAAATGCCAAAGAAAACAACTAAATATACAAATGTTTGCTATATACAACACGAACATGTACATACTAACATATAACCATTATCCCACAGGTTTTGAAAACCGTGGTTTTTCTCAGTCTGAGACTAGAAACACGTACTGGTTCACATACCCCTCCTCTTCATTTGGTCTACAATCGAACCCCTCATTGACCCAGGGGTGTTGGCATATCTCTTCTATAGTGGGTCGATCCGCCGGCTTCCGTTGGAGTATCAGGCTGATCAAATCTTTGGCCTCTGCATAGGCGTGGACGGAGAATAAGTAAATGCTAATAGAAGTCCTGGTATATGTGTTGAAGGTATTTGATGTATACATATATGTTGCTTATATGATCTTCACAGTCGCAATATCATATTGCCCTATCCATTGATAATTGCATGTAAAACTCAAATTATGTACATTTTGAATATTAAAATTAAATTCCATACCATCATGCGTGCACACATACATATGAATATTTACTATAAAAAACCCAGTTTTTGGTACACAGATATGTATCCTGCATGTAGACACATCCGCGTACACATCCTTCAACTCACTCTGTACGTAGACAGATCGTCGCATACCTTCACTGATATTGCTGGGCATTTCGTACTCGGCATTCTGCACCTTTTTGTAGAACATCAACTGGTTGCCATTGCTGTCGAAGGGCTGCTTTCCCGACAGTAGTGAGAATAGCACCACCCCAAAACTCCATGCGTCGGTAGCAGGGCCCACATACTGTTCGTTGGCCAGAATTTCTGGGGCAGCATAGGCAGCAGACCCCACGAAGGTGTCCTAAATAGGAGGAAAAAGACTGATGTGAATCTCGTGGATATCGATAACAGATGCTTACTCGATATATTTGGCTATGTAGATATGTGCGTGTCCGTGTTTGTTGGTTGAGTGGTATAGTGTAATATAGGCCGTCGATCAACGTAGGTATACTATAGGCATACAATATACGTAC